AAATGTTGTGAAAGGACCTGAAGCAAGCAGTTCATGTGAGGAAACAAACCAACATCCCAGAGTTTAAGCTGTTCTGTACTGAGGAATGGGCTAAAATTCCTCCAAGCTGATGTGCAGGACTGATCAACAGTTATCAGAAACTTTTAGCTGCAGTTATTGCTGCACAATGGGGTCACACCAGATACTGAAAGCAAATGTTCACATACTTTTGCAACTCACAGATATGTAATATTGGATCATTTTCCTCAATAAATAAATCACCAAGTGTAATATTTTTGTCTCATTCCTTTAACTGGGTTCTCGTTAGCTACTTTAAGGCCTTTGTGATGATGTTTTAGTTCCTATATATGCAGAAATATAGAAATTTCTAAAGTGTTCACAAACCTTCAAGCACCACTGTATATTCAGTCACAATGAAATGTTGAGAAAAGGCCTGGAACAATATATCGTCATTGACATTCAAAAATGGTGATCATTTTCCCTACAGTATGAAAATATTAACATTTTTATATTATTAGGCAATATTTAATACTATAAAGAGGTACCTATATTTTCAACTTGACTTTTGAATCAGGTTACGTTTTCCTTCTTCATACCTAACCATCATTACAAACGTAAGACAAAATAAGTATTGCATTATTAGATTTATTCTAAGCATATCGCTTCAGGCCTATTTTATAATATGTGCAAATATAAAATGCATTTTTTCATACTTCACAACTGAACAAGATTCTGCACAAGCAAGAAAATAAATTCTGGACTTGAAATTTTTTTGTTATGTGACAGAAGTGTTCAGTCTTAAAGGGTCTTAAAGTATTTTAATGTACAGTGTTTATCAGATTGAACAGTAACATTTCTGAACATAGCGAGTATCTATACAAAATAAAGTGCTTATAAACATACTTTTAAAGCAGTAAACATTACTTGAACTGTCTTTTCCCAAATTATCACTTCCCAAAATATGTGCATACAAAAATACAAAAAAACCCAAAAAACAGTAGCATGTGATTGATGCATCCGATGTATACGTTCATTTATGTACACAATTTGGATCATGTGGCTGATTTCCTGTGAGTATGTACTGTATGCTTATTTTCTGTGCATTATAATGTGTCAAATAACCCTTCAAAAATCTTAATTTAGACATTCAATTTGCTGTGTAGTGCTTTTTAGTGTAATGTGCACAGTCTTCAAACCAAAATTCCTTCAAAAATCAGTAGCAACTAGTAGTGGGCAGTTTCAGTACAAGAAAAGTTGGCGTTTCTGAAACAAGTATCTGTTTCCCAGTTGTTAGGAACTGATTGGCTGGAATTTATGTCAGTTACACAATCAAAAAGAGGGAGGTAGGAGTATCAAAGAATTGTAAATGTAATACTGTAATAAATTCTAGAGCTAATAAGATCAGAAAATGGAAATCAATGTAGGTTTAATATGTGTTACACAAGGATTAAAAGTTATCTTGCTGTCTGCAACCGATTGTTATCGAAAGACTTAGAGCTGCAACAACTAAAACTAATCGATCAAACTGATAATAATTGATTACGAAAATCATTGTAAGTGAGCATCATAAACGATTAGTTGGTCTGCACAGAGCATGGGATACACTGCATTAATTCTGTTCCGAAAACACACTTCAGAGAGTAAATACTAAAGTTGTGTCCTAAATGACGTACTATACACTTACACTATGCACTGTGCACTCTATCGTCTAGTGTATGTATTTTAGAAAGGTAATATCATCTCAAATGGAACACTAGTGGTTTTTTACTAACCAGAAGTGTAAGCCGTTTCCCAGTCGATGCCGCACGATGTCAAACGCATGTAATGCGACACTACTAGCTTTAGCAGAATACCCAGAGTCAACAAGAATAATTTCTTCACTTTACTGTTTATGTCAACGTTACCTTTTATGCCCAACTCTCCTCTAAGGCAGGAGAGCTTGTAATGTAAATGTAGTGAAGAAAACTATAACCTGCAAATTTGATAAAGCAGTTTGTGTAGCACAGAAACACGACAGTGATGCACGAGCACAAACTTATGTTTATATGCAAATTTGTCATTATATGCTGTATTTGCGTAAATTCGTTTATTACTGTAACGGAAGTGATCTTTTTGTAACGAGGCCGCGTCGCTCCTCGCTCGCAATAGACGCAGTGATAAACAGTGTAGCGTAAGTAAGATCTGTAATGTCTGATTAAACCACAACGATCAAAGTAAACTTATGTAAAACTATATACCTAAAGGCATTGAGTACCAGAAAGTGTAAGGTGCAGTGAAAGTGAGATTTAAAGCGCACCTATTATGGTTTTAAAACGTGCTTAATTTTGTTTTAAACGTCTCAGACGGTAGATTTACATGCATCGCAAGGTCAAAAAACACTTTAATGTGCTCATAATTTACACTGCAGCATTAAAAACGACTCGTTCAATGATCCATCCTAAAGGATTTATTCTAAACTCCTCCTTTTAGAGAGCATACTCTGCTCTGATTGGTCAGATGTCCCAGTCTGTTGTGATTGGTCTACCACTGTCAGCGAGCAGCCGATGAAGACCCGAGGCAGTGCTTTTTGTTACAAACTTGAGTAGGTTAATACAGTAAGTAATTCTGGAGTCACTGGCGACTCGTTTCAGCTTTTTGGAATCGGTTCCTTCATTTGGGAGACAATAACCACGTTTGTCGTGTGCTTTGATTTTTGAAACTTTGCAGACGCTTTACATTCAGGAACAGATCTATAACACGTTACATGAAAGGTAATATTTCAAAAACCATCATAGGTGCACTTTAATTATTCATTTAGGAATGTAGTTAGTTATCAGTGTTTTTTTTGTACTTCCATACAAAAATTTATACTTATTTATATTTATTAGTTCATTATTTTAATTCATATTATATATATATATATATATATATATATATATATATATATATATATATATATATAATGAATTAAAGTGGAAAAATAATTGGCCAATTAAACGATTATGAAAAAATCGTTAAGTTGCAGCCCTAGAAAGACTTAATGTTCGTTGTAAATGACAAATTGTAAATGTACGAGATTGAGTCAAATGAAATCTTTTTTCTTTTTTTTGGCATTGTTTATTACGTGAATGTTCCTGTTCTTAATGAGTGTCCGGATTAATCTAGAAAAAAACCTAGGGTAACATCACAATATGTGTGATATATGGGTGAAAGGAAAAGCACAGAGGTTTCTCATTTGTACATTTATGAACACCTAGTCACATCATCCTAACACAGCCACACCATCAATATCATTTCCAATTTCTTAGCTCAAGTACAGTCTCAACACTACAATTTCAGCATTTCACAAATCAATTGACCTAACCTGGACCTTTTTTTTCTCCCATAGCACACTCAGACAGAAACAAAAGCACTTCAAGTGCTTTTCATAACTCCTAATAAATTGTGATTACCACAATTACCAATAATACCAACCGATCATGCGTGAGAAATGCCCACGATTGAGAAAATTCCACAAGACTTAAAATCTCGTGTTTTTTTCTCAGTCAGAGACTGTTTCTCCTTAAAAAATAAGTACAATAAGATCTAATCTAGATCTGATCAAGATTTAATGTTGTTCAATGACTTTCAGACACTTTCCTTTTTTCCCCTCGTTCCAAACTTTTCTTTTAGCCAAAACACACAGTACTCAGGTCATCATTATATCCTACACATTAGCAAAAATTGGTTTAACCCAGTAGGTAGTAATGTCATGTTAGTAGATGGTGTATGGCCAAAAATGTACAATGTACATATGTACATCATGTTCATTTGGGGGTGGGGTGATGGCTTGGTGGTTAAGGCTCTGGGTTACTGATCGGAAGATCAGGGGTTCAAGCCCCGGCACTGCGGAGCTGCTACTGCTGAGCCCTTAAGCAAGGTCCTTAACCCTCTCTGCTCCAGGGGCGCTGTATCATGGCTGACTCTGCACTCTGACCCCAGCTTTCTAACATGCTGGGGTATGCGAAGACAAGAATTTTCTTCACTGTGCATATGTATATGTGATCAATAAAGACTCATTATATTAAAATGATCAATAAATATCATGGTATACTAATGTAGTGTAATGATTGATCAACATTTTTGGTATGTTTGATTCCCTGTTGTATAAACAACAAACCTTTTCAATTTGTTGCAGAATGCTTTTTGCACTTTATGCAGAAAATGTATAAATGTGATTTCATGATTGAGGTGCCATTTAGCCATTGTTGGAACAATTCTTTCAACATTTGCTCTAAAAAAATCCTTATCAATTTAACAATGTATCGGTTTTCAGGCCACCATCTAATTTTCGAAAAGTTTCTTTGATAAAAAAAAAAAAGGCTGCATTTTACACTTAAATAAGTAACATGGTTCAAAGTAAAACAGTTGAGGGGAGTTTCTTTTAGCACAGATCTAGCAAATACAGAAAAATATGATAATAATAATAATATTAACTAGGATCTATGCTAATAGTATGAGGACATTAGGTAGGATGACCACATTCTGGTTTCCAAAAAAGAGGACACTGGGGCAGGAGGGAAGCACAGGGGAACACGGGCACTCGGGGTGGCTGGGAGGATGTGGTGAGTCTTAAATGCCTCAAATAAACTATATGGCCAAATAATCTCCTTTTAATTCAATTAATGTCTCTTACAAATAAAAAATTAATAAAATGCAAAAAAAAAAAAAAAAAAAAAACCTAAACTTTTACCACTTTTACCATATTATTTTTCTTTAATGACCATAGAATAAAATCAAATCAAATCTGTACTTCTGTACTGCTTATCCTACATAGGGTCGTGGGGAGCCTATCTCAGGAGACTCGGCAGCAGGACCCATCGCAGATCACAATCGAGCACACACACACACTCACACACTATGAGATAATTTAGAGACACCAATCATCCTACAATGCATGTCTTTGGACTGGGGGAAGAAACCAGAGTGCCCAGAGAAAACTCCTGAAGCACAGGGAGAACATGCAAGCTCCACACACACAGTGTGGAGGTGGAAATCAAACCCCCAACATCAGAGGTGCAAGGCAAACACACTAACCACTATGCCACTATGCCACTAAACCACTGTGATCCCCTAAAATAATTTTTTATTTTTTATTTTTGTTTTTTTAAATCCTCTATTCTATTTCACTAGTCACGTTTCAGTCCTCCTGATGTGCCCAGGTAGGGTATACAGTACTTCTGGCATAAAAGTCTTAGCAAAACATTGCACTGTTTGTGGAATCTGTGCAATCCTCAGCAGGTCTGAATGAATTTCAATGCTTTTAGACCCCTTTTAGAATATCTGGTCCAATCCCCAACCGAGACAAAAACAATAATCTTTTTCTGTAATTCATCTGTGTATTTACATTTGTATTTGGGCATATTTAGGCTGTGTTCAGGTTCCATGTGCTACTCTTCTCAACCAATCACCTGTCTCTGGTTGTTGCGGTGGACCAGCACTTCCTACACACACAAGCTGAGGGTAATGATTGAGAAGCAGTTTGACAAATGGTTGCATGCAGAGTGTGTACACGATCGACGAGTTGTTGAAGGAGAGAAGGCGGGACCTGAAGAGATGGGTTAAAGCAATGCAAATATGCACACAGACTGTGTGGCAACTGTAGAAAAAGAAAATGTTGACGTGAAAGCAAAGCAAAACGCAGGACATTTTACGCAAACGTTAGAGAAGGACATGTCCAGGAAAAAGAGGATGCATGGTCACCCTACATTAAGGAAATCTGAAAGATTTAAATACAATTTTTTTAAATAATAATTTTGACCTATAATTTCAGTAACAGTGTTGTACTTTAAAGTGACCTCATCAGTCTATATCACAATATTACTAGTAAAAAATTCATTAAGGAAATAGAATGCTGTTTTTGATCTTCAAGAAATTCTGATGATGCAATTTCCTGTTCTATGTTTGTTTGTTTGTAATTTAACACCATGCCAGCAACCATGGCTATTTTCAAAGCTGGAAACTGGTTAAAACAAAGTTTTTAAAAGTTTATCTTCGATAAAAAAAAAAAAAAAAATCTAAAACTAAATCTGGCTTAAATCGTTTCATTCCTGCTGAAAAAACTATTGAAACCATCACAGAAATTCTAATGGTTTCCACTACAAATACCATTACAAACCATCAGCTAACCATTACCATTAATGCTATCCACAAGACTTAACATGCCACCAATAGAAGGCAACAAATTCCCAGTAGAGACCCACAGGGAACATTATAGCAACCAATACAATTCCCATTATAAAAATTAAAACTATAACATATTATGTAATATTTTGAGGGTTTTTTTCCAGCAGGGATATGAATCAACCAAATAATAAAAAAAAAGAGTCCTAGAGGAGTTGTGAATGGGTTCAGGTATCAGGGGTGAATGATAACTAAACTGTACATTTTTCATAATCTATAATGGATGACTCATGGAAAAGAATGCTTCAGGCATGGGATGCTAAATGAATTTGCATACCAATGCAAAAAATATTTTAACTATTATTTTGATGAATGTTTTCCGCTATCTGAAATATGCAAGAAAACTATAACATTAACATGGCTAACCCATATGTTGAGACATAAAAGAGATGTTTTTGAAAGAAAATGGAAGAAATGGTTAAAAAAAAACTGCAAACCCTGTTCAATCAAATCAATACTTAAACAGAACTTTTTCAACAGCATGAAGTTGGTTAAAAGGTCTTACCCAGTAACACACTATGCCAAAACTGAAAGAAATTCCAGAAATTATGAGGAAGAAGGTTATTGAAATACATCAGTCTGGGAAGGGTTACAAAGCTATTTCAAAGGCTCTGGGACTCTAAAGGACCACAGTGAGAGCCATTATCTCCAAATGGAAAAACTCGCCATAGCAGTGAACATTCCTAGAAGTGGACAACCTTCCAAAATTCCTCCAAGAGCACAGCAACTACTCTTCCAGGAAGTCACAAAAGGCCAAGGACAACATCCAAGGACCTAAAGGCCTCTTTTGTATCAATAAAGGTCACTGTTCATGACTCCACTATCAGAAAGACACTGGGCAAAAATGGCATCCATGGAAACGTGGTGAGGTGAAAACCACTGCTAACACAGAAGAACATTTTTTTTTTTTTTTTGCCAAAACACACCTTGATGATCCTCAAACTTTTTGGGAGAATGTTCTGTGGACTGATGAGTCAAAGGTGGAACTGTTGGAAAACAGGGGTCCTAAACACCGAATTCCACAAAAAAAACATCATAGCTATGGTCAAGTATGGTGGTGGAAGTGTGATGGTGAGGGGATGCTTTGCTGCTTCAGGGCCTCGGCAACTTGCAATTATTGGGGGAAACCTGAATTCTGCTCTTTACCAGAAAATCATAAAGGAGAAGGTCCAGTCTTAAGTCCATAAGTCCATAACTAGATTAAGCAACAAGACAATGATCCAAAGCATAGGAGTAAGTCCAAGTAAGTGCAAGACTTATCTCTAGTTATCAGGAGTGTTTGGTTGTAGTTATTGCTGCAAAAGGTGGCACAACCAGATTTTATGTTTAAGGGGCTATTAGTTAAATTTTCATGAATGATAGGTGTTGGATAACATTTTTTTTTTTTTGCTTGAATTAAATAAATAAATAAATATAAAAGTGTATTGTGTGTTTACTTAGCTTACCTATGTTTTATGTTGTATTTCATTTGACGATTTAAACGATTTAGTATGAGATAATACACAAAAACACAAACGGCACCTCAACCATGGAATCATGCATAAAGACAAATCAAATGAGGAAACCACTTCAACAGTGAATCAACTGGTTCATCATGAAATAAACAGCACGCTTATTTTAACAACCATGCTCAAGCCAATATCACACCCTAATTTATCCAAATCTGTTCAGGTTTTTAAGGTGATAGAACAGCTAGTACGCTAAATCAACACAGCAGACTGCTTCAATACTGCACAGTCCCCCTCTTTCTGAATGACAACAGGCATCTTCCATAGCCACAATATGTTTGTTTGTTTTTTTTAATACATATAGCTGTTAGCTTGTGTATATGGACATAACTGAGCCACTGAGCATAATTAAAACTGAATATTAAAACTAATGATCTTAGAACCGCCATACTGCCCACTACTACATCATGGTGTGAATTCCTATTATTTCTCAAACTAACCATTCTTGAAGCTGGAACAGACTAAAACAGGCAAACTGCAGTGCAGCCTTTTGCTTTGTTTGGTTTCTGTCTTCCATCTCGAACAGATGTGACCATGAAAGAAGACACCATCTAAACTACTTTCCCGTTCTCTCTTGCCTGGATGGGAGACAGAGAAAGAAGCGAATGTTAAATCATGTACAGTCTTTTAAATCACAAGTCATACTACATATTCACAAATACAATTTCATGTGCTTCACACTAAAACCATGACCGAACATACCAAGCATTTATATTCCGTCAAAATAAAATAGACTGAAAATTGCAGCCGAGAACTGAGTTGTACCTTAACTGTCCTTTTACTGTTATACCTATAAAGGATGAGTGGGAAAGTGTTATGTAATATGTACATAAAAGCAAGAGGATGAGGAAATGTTGCCGGTAGTGCACAAGCCCACTCATTGCACTCCATGTATATTCCTAACACTTTTATTTATATATATATATATATATATATATATATATATATATATATATATATATATATATATAATATATTGCACAGCAGTAACAATATACTCAACGTTTCATAATACACAGCTTAGTATTATACTGAGTATTACATAGGATTCTTTTCACTTGTGGGGCACAGCTGGAACTCTAGGGTGCGAGTTCTGTTAAGAACGTTGCATCTTAATGTGGGTTTCCCCAGGTTCTCCAGTTTCCTCCCAAAAACATGTTAGCAGGTGGATTGACTTTTCTAAATCATCCAGTATGTTTGGACACCTAACCATCACACCCACTTTTTGAACTTCCCATTGTAGATCTAGTCCCCACTTTGCATATAATATCCTCCACACTTCTTGGAAGGCTTTCCACTAGATTTTGGACTATAGCTTTGGGGATTTGTGCTCATTCAGCCACAAGAGCATTAATGAGGTCAGGCACTGATGTCGGCCGAGGATGCGTGAGGTGCAGTTATGTTCCAATTCTTCCCAAAAGTGCAAATGCAAGTCTCCAGATTATCAAGCTGCAAGGCTGCGCTCTCCCAAGGTGGCAACACGATGGCAACATGAAGTCCTGAGCAGATTGGCCAAGGTGCTGGAGGAATGTAGACAGGTTCATCAGCAGAGGTCATTCTCCACCATTGTGTCAGCACATCCAATTTGTCAGAGAAGGATGGGTCAACAGAAGCACCACATCAAGAGTACCATCCTTTCACCCAGGCCTGGTGAAAGAGACGATCTCGGAAGGACGCTCCAGTTCCCTGGAGTGATCACCAACACAAGTCTGTGTCCTTATGTAATGATGCAGTACCAAGACCGTGCTCCTTATCAAGCTGTGTCCCTTGGGAGGAAGGAATAGAAGCTGCCTTTGAGAGTAAGAGGCTGAAGTACCCCAATCTCGTCGATGAGTTTACCATCATCTACCCGGTAGAAGTAGGATGCCGTGGCTTTGTTGGAACATCAACTGTTCGCCTCCTGAGGGATATGGGAGTAACTGGAGCAAACCAGTGGAAGGCCCTGAAAGACCTGGCTGAAAAGATCTGAAAAAGCAGTTTTTGGCTCTCGGTGAGCAGAAAGGAGAAGTGTTGGGGTAGTAACATCAATCCTAAGGTCTAGTTGCAGGGTGTGGCAAGGAGATGTCCCTGCAACTGCTCCACCATCAGGAGACTTTCCGGGGTTAAAGAAGCTAAACCTTGTTGAGCGGTGATACCTGACTGACGACCGTGCAGTTGACCTATGCCATATGGAACCAGTGGCACTGAGCATACATTAACATTAGCCCAGTGGGGGCTGTTACAGCCTTAGACACTGTGGAGGCCTGTATGGTTTTGGTTGCGTTAGGCATGATTGCAAGGAAGAGCGGTAATCCTATGGGCAATGGAGGAGGTGTGACAGGCAGCAATGCTATAGCAGGCCAACATTTACCTGTGCAATCAATGT